AAATCGATTTCATACGTTGATTCGTAATAATTTTCATGCTGTAGAGATATTGGCAATTGCTCAAGCCAAACTAAACACTCCAAATAATTTAGCCTCCTACGTAGAAATGCACAATTTAAATAGAGTGAGAGTGCGATTTGCCAGCATTAATGGTAATCTTCCAGAGCTGGATAGTTTTCCTCAACTGACATTCCAGGATCTCATTCTGTTTAGTCTAGGAATTTATCAAATTAAACAAGCTCGTAGTTATTACGGGGGAGCATGTCAGGGCTTCTGGAGAATATAAAATCGAGGTATACCTGCAATCTGTCCATGATTTTGGTCCAAATAGTTATCTATTGCGAGGTAGGATACAATCAAGGCACACTAGTAAAAAAACTTATTACACTTATATACTAGTTGACACCAACCCATCAATTGCTAACACTAGGGCTGCTCTTACTGGGTACTGTTGCAACTGTTTGGTAGGCAGACGCACTGTTGGCTGCTGTGCACATGTCATGTCTGTTGTCTGGTTTCTATCTTGGGCACGGCATCGAGATGAGGTTGAACCACCTGCATCTTTTTTAGATGATATATTACTTTCAAGTAATGATATTGAAAATGATGAATGATGATTATTAATCTTAATGCGTATTAATATTGTAATATAAATGATCATTTTTGCTATAGTTGCTTCACTTGTGGCAACCAAAGTTTTTTGTGGTATTCTATAGGAAGATGCTGCTCCCCATCTCCTAGTATTTTTATTTTATTCTGTCGACTTTAACGACACCATACGGGACGGAACGTGATGGCAATTCACGGAAGGCCTCTGTAATATTTTACATTATATCTTTAATTTAGGAGCCATATGTTCGGCAGTGGACTGTTGTAATGATGATGAATAATGATGACTAAAAATTGTAATTTTTGTTGCTTATTTGAACTATTTCTATTTTACTGTGTGCTTTATTATCTGTTATATATTATGTTATATGTGTAATTTATAAATAAACGCCGAGCAAAGTTGAATTTATTGCTTTGGCACCCTTTTTTATCTCTTTTAATTGACAATATCCTTCTGATTTCTAATAATATCGTAAACGGGCGAGACATTATATTTTAATGATGTATGGGATTTATACTTGCTAATAGATGAATACTTTAATGAACAAAGGGCCGGCACTGCACCTGTCTGCTGTGTTATTTTTAAAAGAGGACTCATAAAACACTGACGATTTTAACCATAATTAATGCAGTGATTATACATGATCTTTGGGACTTATTACATATCAATATCGTATCATAAATAGAAATGTTACCATCAAGTTATTTTGAAAAAATCTTTTAATATGATCTTTTGATATGAAAACACGAAAAATGTTTCTACCTATGTCCGTTAGAAACCATCCAAGCGATTTTGATGATATGTTTATGTGTGTTTGAACGGGTCTCTATATGATTCATATTCACATATGGACTCGGTAGGTGGCGCTGTTGTCGAAATCCAGAAATCACCTGTGCGAAGTCGGGGCGGATCGCTAATAATAAATACAATTAAACTATACCTGTGTGTTTGTTATCCTGGCACAAACAGTTCAAAACATCTTACTTCCTCACAATTTATCAGTGTGTAATAACAGATAAGCATGATATTACCTAGTCATTTTGGTATTTTAGAACCCAGTCATTTTAAGATGTATAATTAGGTATTTAATAATCAACCAAAGCATATTAAAAAAAGTCTTGACACCGGGCCTGTCTGTCTGTCTGCATAAATAGATCTGAATTATATGTCTGAATTATATAGACTATGTTGGAAATGATGATTTACCATCTATAAATACGGTTGCATTATAACTTGTTTTTTACACAGTCAGTTTAAAACATCTTTCTTACTATATAACGTGTGTTGGTAATATTGTAAATATAAATGGATATATTATACCTTAGTCATCTTGAATTTATTCATATTATTTTAACGGTAATTGGGAAGTACACTCACAATCAATATATGTAAAAAATTGTATCCATACCACATTTGTACACAGACAGGCACTATATTTTGCCGTAACTACTAAAAATATTGAAGTACCTGAAAATGCTGAATGTACCTACAACTTGGTTTTATATGAACTATTATTCAACAGTGCACTATTTTAACTTAAAATACCGGTAAAAACCACTATAAATAGCTTTTAGTTTATTTATAGGTTATTTTAAAATTCATATTTTAATTGTCAATTTCTCGATTTTCCGTCTAGATGTGGTAAAACTAATATTACTTTTGTAAACTATAAATTATAAGGAATAAATCGACATCCATTTCATTGCGTGACGCGAAAATTTGTGGTGGGCCCATTCTCCATACAAAAATTGATTGTCTCCTTTAGGGATTATAACATTTATTTGCAATAAAATTAAAAGTTTAATTTATAAGTTAACTTATATTTTATGCCGTACTTGTGGTTGAAATTATCACATTAAATAAATCATTTGTTATGAAATATTTTTAATTATTTCACTTCATTTGAAGGTTTCACTTCTATCATGTATGAACTGTTTACGTATGTCTTTTATTGTCGAATTTTCTGTAGTAAAGTTATATTTCTATACGTTTGCATACTGATTTTAATAACACAAAATTAATGGGAACCATAGGTTTTCGTTACTTGTATATGAAAATCAAGTTTTAAGGAGTAAAAATACTCCAAAAAGTACTCATAAATGAAGACAATAAAAAAAATAGAAATTACTATTACTATGATAATATCTGGTAACGGGAGAAAACTCAGCATTTGCCAGATTTTCCCTTGACACTGGTCCTTAACTAGTCCCTATTGTTTTAAGTAGCTTCCTAGGTAGTAGCAGCATGTAGTATTTTTAATTGTGTATTATGTTATTTATGAGAATGAGGGAATAGAGTGCACCTGTGCTTGCGCTTGCACTTGGGCATTATAACCCTGTCCTAAGCGGATGGAAGTTATTTATTTATTTATTTTATAAAATAATGGTGACAAAAGAGCACACAGTCCACCTGATGGTAACTGTATGCTGTGGCCCATAGACATCTACATCTATCCTGGATTAAGATTCCAAAGGCGTTCCACCCCTAGGGGCTAAAATGTTCGCCTCGTTTTCTGTAAAATGGGTCCCAACCTTGTCTAAAAAGTGATGTAGCCATTTATTTTGGTGTTTTAAAAAATATTCCTACCTATATCTGGCCCAAAAATACATTTGTTTACTAAATATTTTATTGTTATAATTTATTTTATATTTTTGATGATTGAATGCTTAGCATCGCTCACAGTTAATGAAGACTTACGTAAAATTTGTTTTATTCGCAATGATAAATATACGAGTTGATAATGTTAAATTACTTTTAATTGAAACCTACCTCAGATAATTAATGATAGATAAAACTTCCAGGCTCTATATTCCAGATTCGATATTTTGAATTCAAAATATTAGTTGCACTTTTCAATGCCCGTGCAGTGTTTGTGTAAGAATACCCGCACCCGATATCGTCGCGCATGAGACGACAGAGCAAACCAACCGGAAATGGACCGCAGCGTCTTCCGAATAAAACATCATGTAAATAAAAAAAACTGCGGTTGCCAAGCGTTGCAACTGTGGCTAATGAGGCAATATGAGGCAATGTGTTGGGTAGGCCTATATTCAGCAGTGTACTTTTGATCGGCTGGGATAACGTTGATGTATGACTTTACTGACGTTGCTCTCCCATCACCAAAATAACGTTAAGTTAAAAGAAATTATTTTGAGGGTATGCGTAAAAAAAGAGGAAGGATGTTTCTTAAAATTAGAATAATATCTTGAAGAAACTATACCTGTTAGTCTGAACAAATAGACTCAAATATGAACAAAATCGGATTTACCTACTCATAAAAATCAATATAAATATAAGCAGCGTTTAAATTTTTTTCTCTTTCTTTCTCTAACTAAATGATAATTGAAAAATACAGATATAACACTATACAGATAACTAATACTAAAGAGCACTATAAAGTGCCCATACGAGGTGCGAGTAGATATTTTCGAAAATGCTATCTGTTTCATACCGCTCGCCCCGTATCGTAGCGTGGGTTAGAGAGAGTTGCAAGTCTTGGAAGCAATTGCCTACATTTCCTTTTATTGTATTGGGCGATAACGTTTTCACCCTCCTAAATCTTTACGAAATGAGAACATTTCTCATTAGATTCAGTGCAACTTAATCTCTAATTCTTTTCTAGTAATTCAGTTAAAACTTTCCTGTAGTAGCTTTTTTAACAGGGGTTTGTCCATTTTCATTACAATGTGTGACGTAGAGACGATACATCAATGTAATAGAAAGATCACCATTTAGATATTTTTTTGGTTGATCTGGAACTGTGGTTTACATAAGCTGCATATCAATATGTTTATTGAGATTTTCGTCAAATGAGGAAGACAAAAACGCCGAGTACCTACTATTTGGACGACTTATATATATAAATTATATATATATATATATATATATATATAAATATATACTTGTTAAATAATTGTTATACTTTATATGCATAAGCTTATTTTATAACCACAGTCTGTAATATTTGTTTGATTGTTTATTAATAAAAAACTAAAATGAAAATGTATGTATAAATTTTTGTAGTAAACATTTTTTTATGATGTACAGGGGAAAATCTCGATTTTAACTAAATGTCCGGGGCTGTAAAGTTTTTTTGTCCGGAATCGGCAATTCAAAGATAGCAAGGTAGTTCTAGTAGTCGTTTTATAATTTGTGATAAATCCCTCTGGCGTTGCGAGATGGTGTTAGGTTCATATTACTTCGTCAATTTTTGTATTAAACCCTTATTTTTAGGATGTACAGGGGAAAAACTCGATTTTAAGTAAATATCCGGGGCTGTAAATTTTTTTGTCCGGAATGGGCAATTAAAAGATAAAAAGGTAGTTCTAGCAGTCGTTTTATAATTTAAGATAAAACGCGAGATGGCGTTAGGTTTATATTACTTCGCGATATGGTTACTGCCACAAAGTAAGTGTAAGTCACAAATGTAATAGACATTATCAAAAACGAGTTACGAGTGAATATCTGAAGTTTTTTAATTTTTGCTATTAGCCCTTGTGGAAATACAAGAGGTTGATTGATTATCTAAAAATTGTTAATTTTGTAATAGGTAATATTCATGATGTTGACATTCCGAATATTTGCACTAGACCATTGGTCGTAGATACTTGCAAATACGAGTACCAGGGTTTCCAAGTACGTCCACCTTCAGATTAGGCATGTCGATTCACTCATAAAAAAATCGATCTCTGAATCGAAAACACTAGAATCGATTATCGATTAAATCGAGGATTAAAAGATCGATTTTCGATTAATCGCGACATTTTCAAACCAAGAATTTACGATTTTTTCTTTAATTGAACTTTAATATTTTTTTAAATAAGATATTAGTAATCTTAATAATTAACATTATTAATATTCCTTTTAACCACTCCTGGTAATCTTGAAACGTTTGTGTTAGTAGTGGTTTGCACATAAGCCACTCGATCCTTTTTTTACGAAGTGATTCCATGTATCACTTTTATTTGACATTTTAGGCTAGAACAACAACAATACTTTAACAAAAGTTCAAACTGCAACGTACATTTATCGATAAATCTGTTTCAATCTAATAACTCACTATTTATCAAATTGAAGTGAATGCTACACGAACACAATACTGGTTATTTCCTTACTATAAACCTCTGTAAACTTCAACATATAATATTTATATGCAGTATCTAAGTATTTAAAAAGTACTCTGTCTGTACTTACAGCTCACAGTATGTATATTTTTGATAATAAATAAAGTAAAATCAGAAGTTCACAGTACAAACAGGTTCACAGCTATAGTATTACATTGTAGTATGTATATGTAGTCTTTGTTCACAGCACAGATTAAGTTAGACCAACATTCCACAGGTATGATTAGAATTAGAATTTTAGAAATGAAAATGAAATGAAAACTTTTCGATATTGTTGGATGCGTTCATAAATATTTATTTTATTCAAATATATATTGAGTTCAAATTATCAATCAAGTACGACCGGTTGTTTTTGTGTCCCCCAATAGCAAAAAATTAAAAAACTGCGGTATGTGATAAAGCCAGGTTGGGAATTTTATCGCTAGTTCTTGAATCAGATGAAACAGTCCGATTCGAGAGGTTTTTGGATCGATTCAGTGAATCGCTCGGAATCGATCTAAAAGATCGATTATTTTACGCCAAAGAATCGATTTTTCGATTAATCGATTTAAGATCGACATGCCTACTTCAGATACCAGCACCAAAAATCGGGGCTTGAAATACTTTCAAGTATTTTCTTTCTGCGTCGAAAATTGATCCGTAAGATATACAAATTAGAAGTGTTAAATATGCTTAAATAGTAAACTTTCAAGCCTTGTAGGAAGAAAAATTCTTGCATAGAACATTGATCTGTAACTGTATACAAATAAAGAGCACAATCGCGTTTACAAAATAAACTTTCAAACATTTAAAAGTTCCAACTTTCAAGCCATGTTGGAAGAAAAATACTTGCATAGAACATTGATCCGTAATTTTATATAAATAAGAAGCAGAATTGCGTTTACAAAAAAAAAATACTTCCTACCAATACTTCAAAGTAAATATACCTTGATAGAACATCCGTAACGGAAAATAAATAAATAGCAGAATCGCGTCGAGTGTCGTCCGAGCGAGAATATTCAAATAGGTACTATTAAGTCTTGCGAGTATTTTGGGTCGGCACTTGGTCGGCGTACTTGCAAGTAAATACCTGGTATAAAAACCTGGTCGCGTATATACGCACTTTTCCTAATTCGCACTAAACGCTATAAATCATTTTTTATAATGCGCACACCTAAGGAGTGCCTGCCGGCGTCTGTTTTTTGCGAGTACCTATAACCTGCACCTCATTAAGGACGCGTTTACAAAATGGATAGGTATAGAATCGCACTACTACATTGACAAAAGTCACACACACACTAGTGTACGCACGGTTGGCTGTGGGAATCGTAGTCAAATGAAATTATTTTGATAATTTGAAAGATTGAATTTGTTTTTCATTTCTTATACCTACCTCAGAAATATACTTCGATACGAAATATGAATACCTGCTCCAAAGACTGCTTGGCACTGGAAGCCCTCTACTGGTAGTGAGATGTTAGCTCTGGACTTTGAACTGGTTTTGTCAGTTATAATAAGACCTTACCTACCTGCGGACTTGATGGAGTGACCTGAAGGTGTAATTTGGTGATTACAACAATAGGAACTCCTAGACTAGTGGAACTAGGTGTGCCGAGTTTGGGTTCGTTTTGTTGGTTATGATGAGACCTTACCACCGGACTTGATGGAGTGACCTGAAGGTGTAATTCGGTAATTACAAGTGGAACTCCTAGACTAGTAGAACTAGGTGTGCCGAGTTTGGGTTCGTTTTGTTAGTTATGATGAGACCTTACCACCAGACTTGATGGAGTGACCTGAAGGGGTAATTCAGTAACTACTGCTGGAATTTCTGAACGAGTAGAACTAGATGTGCCGAATTTGGGCTCCGTTTTGTTAGTTATGACGAGTCCATACCTCCGGACTTGATGGAGTGACCTGAAGGTGTAAATCGGTGATTGCAACTGGAACTCCTAGACTGGTGGAACTAGGTGTGCCGAGTTTGGGTTCGTTTTGTAGGTTATGATGAGACCTTACCACCGGACATGATGAAGTGACCTGAAGGTATAGTTCGGTGATTACAAGTGGAACTTCTAGACTTGTAGGACTAGGTGTGCCGAGTTTGGGTTCGTTTTGTTAGTTATGATGAGACCTTACCACCAGACTTGATGGAGTGACCTGCAGGGGTAATTCAGTAACTACTGCTGGAATTTCTGAACCAGTAGAACTAGGTGTGCCGAATTTCACTCCATCAAGTCCGGTGGTAAGGTCTTATCGTAACTAACAAAACGAAACCAAACTCGTCACACCTAGTTCTACTAGTCTAGGAATTCCATTTGTAACCACCTGATTACACCTTCAGGTCACTCAATCAAGTCCGGTGGTAAGGTCTCATCGTAACTAACAAAACGAACCCAAACTCGGCATACCTAGTTCTACAAGTCTAGGAGTTCCACTTGTAATCACTGAACTACACCTTCAGGTCACTCCATCAAGTCCGGAGGTATGGACTCGTCATAACTAACAAAACGAAGCCCAAATTCGGCACACCTAGTTCTACTCGTTCAGAAATTCCAGCAGTAGTTACTGAATTACCCCTTCAGGTCACTCTATCAAGTCCGGTGGTAAGGTCTCATCGTAACTAACAAAACGAACCCAAACTCGTCACACCTAGTTCTACTAGTCTAGGAATTCCATTTGTAACCACCTGATTACACCTTCAGGTCACTCAATCAAGTCCGGTGGTAAGGTCTCATCGTAACTAACAAAACGAACCCAAACTCGGCACACCTAGTTCTACAAGTCTAGGAGTTCCACTTGTAATCACTGAACTACACCTTCAGGTCACTCCATCAAGTCCGGAGGTATGGACTCGTCATAACTAACAAAACGAAGCCCAAATTCGGCACACCTAGTTCTACTCGTTCAGAAATTCCAGCAGTAGTTACTGAATTACCCCTTCAGGTCACTCTATCAAGTCCGGTGGTAAGTTCTCATCGTAACTAACAAAACGAACCCAAACTCGGCACACCTAGTTCTACCAGTCTAGGAGTTCCAGTTGCAATCACCGATTTAGACCTTCAGGTCACTCCATCAAGTCCAGAGGTATAGACTCGTCATAACTAACAAAACGGAGCCCAAATTCGTCACCCCTAGTTTTACTCTGCAAGAAGTTCAAATAGCGGTCACGAAAGTACACCTTCAGGTCATGCCATCAAGTCCAGAGGTAAGGTCTCATCATAACCAACAAAACGAGCCCAAACTCGGCACACCTAGTTCCGCTCGTCCACGAGTTGCAGTAGTAGGTAAGTTTATATATCCTACTTATTTTTAGCTAAATAAAAACTGTGAGTATAAAAATAATAATTTTATCACTTGTCAAGTACTTATGTTTCCAATTTGTTTTTTTCTAATATTTTGTGTATGTACAGCGATCTTTTCAGAATGAGCCGCTGCAAACAGGCGATACAGTGTCCACTCACGACGGCGGCCGAGCGCGGACTGTGGTTTCATCGAAATCTTTGTACAATAAATCAAAGCAGGCACCAACAATAAAATAGCCCTTATTGCAATACATTATGATTCATCCATATTACCAAAATATGTGAAAAAATGTGCATCAGTTTTTATTTTTTTTACGACTATTTGTGACATTTTGTTAAAAAATAAATCCAGGGTTTTTTAATTGAATATGTCTGTCATCTTATAGTATTTTTTAAATTTTTAAATATGTTGATAATAGACCAAAACATCTACCGAAACACAAGCCGGTATCGTTAATTTTGTAGAAAATGGCAACGAAAGTTCGTTTTTACAATATAAAAAACTACTATTTTCAACAAAAGAGTTACAGACATTTGCAGATGAAGAACCAATCTATACATGGTAGTTTTTACTTATATTTGATTTGGTTTAGTTTTGTCACAAAATCTACCGAAAAACACCCTAATTTTGGTTGATTTGCAAACGCGTCCTTAAGGTGCGTGTTAACAGCTTTCTCCTGGGCAAACTTGCTCAATTGTAGACCTCATCTTTGTCCCTGGGCCAGATGGAGGTCAAGAGTGAGCCCCTTTTTAATAATAAACAAAACTATGTTTTAATGATTTCTTAAATTTACGCGAACACTACACATTGAATAAAACTATTTTTACGGATTTTATCGCGTTTAATTACTAAGCGCAAAACAGACGGAGCTTAAACCTCGTTTTGAGTAAATCGGACCAAAATTAATATTGAAAAACTGAAGGTAGCCGGACTGACTATGACATTGGGACGTCAAACATCTCAGTCCTCCCCGTGACCATGGGTGCTGTAAAGCACCCGAAACGTCGGGGCAGCAAAAATAAATTAAAGTAGTAATTAAACGTGATAAAATCGGTAAATAATAGTTTTATTCAAACTATGTTTTTCCTACGGTGCCGTTTAGGAATAAGTAATCGGACGGTGTGATTGTGTTTTCCCAAGATATGCTAAAACATATTGTTGCGCGGCTAAATTGACATCTGGCACTAGCGCCATCTAGTGTCGGGTAACGGAGCGAGGGGGAGAGCTTTCCAGAATATGACATCACTAATCTTTCAACCGACAGCGCCATCTGTTGTCGAAACGAAGAACTAAGCTTCTGGAAGCTGACTCTCGAACTTTCGGCGCTTTGTCGATTGGTGCGCGTATTTACTTGAATGTTCTGGATGATTCGGTACTAATGTGTATTTATAGGCGCTGCAAGGTGCGATCGGGGAAGTATTGAATTTGGAGAGTGTGATTAATTATTAGTGTTTTAATTTTAAATTGGTGTAAAGAAAATTAAAGTGTTAATTTAGATAATTCTATCGGCAATTTTTATTGTCACGAACCTCAAGCTCGTAACAATATATAAGACTGGCTGTTCCCCGCGACTTCTTTCGAGTGAAAGTTGTTACCGTTGGATTTCATGGGTTTTGATTTTTATAGATGTAGATGTCTATGGGCCACAGCAACCACTTACCATCAGGTGGACTGTGTGCTTGTGTGTCACCCTGTCCTATAAAAAAATATTCTATCCGGCTATAGCCCGGAACCATTTTAAACGTTCATTTTCGATGTGTCGTTTTTAAAGGCAGCACTTGACTACTACCCCACCTAGACGGTAGGTGGTGATGCCGCCGAAAAAAAAATTTAAGTGGTAGAGTCATGTTGCAGTTATATTAGTAGTATAGTTGTAGCACGAATGGGTCGGCTCGACCGGGGAGGGGCCACGCTCTCACATAATACCAGCGTCAAATAGCAGCTTAATGCTGCTGTGTTTCGTATGGCGAGTGTAGAAAACCGGTGACCCTTTTTACTGGAAAAGTGGCATTCCATCTTAGGCTGACAACGCATCTGCATTTTGATTCGACAGGTGTAGATGTCTATGGGCAAAGCCACCACTTACCATCAGGTGGACTGTGTGCTCGTTTGTCATCCTATCCTATAAAAAAAAGTTAAGTTTAATTAAAAAAATAAAAACGCTCAAGGAAGTTTTTAAGTCAAAATGTAGATGTTTAAATGCTAATTACTTATGTCGTACTATTAAAAAACGTACTGACATAGTTTTTCATTATATCTACAATATTTTCAAAAATTATCGCGTTTTGTAGGCCGATTAAGTTTTTAATCACTGCTTTTTTTGTCTAGTGGTCTACTGCTGATCATGTATGTTCCCGGGTTTGTTCTATTCTTCTTTAGAATACTAGAATACTGAATTTGTAAACATTGATAGAGCAAATAATTTGTAGGCTAGTCTATAAAATAATACTGGTTAGGTCAAGAATAAAAAGGTTTTACACTAGCAAAGCGTCGTACCGTTGGTAACGTGGCAACCGTGGTTGTTTATAGGATTTTTGAGAACATCACCGGGAAGCGTACCAAATGTTTGCGACGAATTACTAACGATCTGGTTATTGTATTTTATGTTGCATCGTACGCATATTTGCGCCATCCATCATGAGTGAATTTAAAGATGATCCCCTTTCGCCTACATATTTATATCAGCGTGTGTTGTAAGCAAAATCATGTATTCTCTTTTAGTAATCAACGCCATTTTGTAAATAGTTATGTTGGCATTATTGGAGACTGTACTCTATATAACGTTGTAATTAAACCTTGGTTATGAAGTGTTGTGTTATATTTATTGTAACATGAATGTTTGATAAAAAAATAAATTTTAAACAAATTCATAATTGTTTTTTTTTAAATATTTCGTGCTTAAATTGATCTTTCGATTTGAGAATAAACACTACGCCGCGTCGCGCAATTGCGCCTACTCAGTACACTGCGCCGGATGTGTTAACTCACTTTTTCAAAATTTTGAGACGTAAGTATGCGCAGTATGCGCTAACTGTATAAAAAGTAATACTATTATAATAATGTCCTCCAGACCGAATTTCAGTCACGGCGGCCAGTCTCAACGTTGACTAGCCATCGGCGCGGGACAGGATTATAGTGCCTAAGTGCAAGCACAGGTGCACTCTCTATTCCCTCACTCTCATACTCCGACGGGACGGTAAACCGTCACGGCTGGCACAGGACCAATGGCTTTACGTGTTCTCAGAGGCACGAGGGTGTGACACCGTCAACTTTCTAACTCCGGGCTGCTGTTGAAAATTTCTTGGCAGGAAAACCCAATAACTGTTTTGACCGGACTGGGGATTCGAACCCAGGAGAGTAGACCAACGAGGCAGTCAACCTCTCACACTATAGTGAAGATTTGGCTTAATCGTCACGCGTAGCAGACGGATGTAAATCGCAATATCAAATCGTACCTCTGTCTCTACTTCTCATCGGCGCTAAGAGTATTTTACTCCTGGCGTAATCGAGTATTATTTATTTTTATAGAAGAGGGGACAAACGAGCTTGCAGCCCACATAAAGGTGACTTCTGCCGCCTATAAATTGCAGGTGCGTTACCATGTAACTTCTGGTAAATTACACAGTCATGGACAGCATCTAGATACTATGGCTGCATCGTGAATTTTGTGGCAATGTGCTTTGGAGGTAACTAGTGGCTAGAATTGATCCAAACAAATTTTATGGACACTCCCCGTGGATTAAAAATGCAACAAGGATAAATCACCATAGTCAAAAGACTGACAAAGCAAATAATATAATATGTTGTTGAAGTAAATGGAAGAGTCGGAAAGGGACGTTCTAGGCGAAAGTTTACCGACCAAATCGCCAATGTATTAAAAATGGGCCAAATTAGGAGTACTCTTAACCGACGAGCATGTATGCGTTGGTATATGGATGTGAAGGAGGCGAGAGAGGTGTGTCAGGATCGTGTCAAATGGAAGTCTTTAGTCTCTGCCTACCCCTCTGGGTGACAGGCGTGAGTGTCAAAAGATCTATACAAAGAAATAAAATTAAAGTATCTGTAATGTCAAAATAACAGCTTTTACTAAATGCATTTAAATGTATATACGGATACGGGATATTTAAAATTTTTGTCTGTCTGTCTGTTTGTTCCGACTAAACTCCGAAACGGCTGGAACGATTTTGACGGGACTTTCCCTGGCAGATAGCTGATGATACAAGGAGTAGCTTAGGCTACTTTTTTTTTTAAGGAAAAGAATTAGACGCAAAAAAAATTTAAACCCATTAAATCCAATCGTAATAAATTCCACGCGAGCGAAGTCGCGAGGAACAGCTAGTTTCATAATATAGTCATTTTCAAATGAACTAACGCACACACACAATAATAATTAATCAGTACAGATAAACTTTGCTCACTTAGCTTATAGGTTAAAGTAACAGAAAATGGAATGGAGACTTCAGTGTATTTTTTAGAATAGTTACGTATCAAGTATCATCATTATTTTACGTTTATAATGTTAATATATTTATCATTGATGCATCTGTTAGTGATCTGGACCTTACTATGTTCCCTCAATATAATACGTCGAGACGATGGTTGGAAAATCACAACATCTGAAGCCGAGACCACTGATGAGATTATCTGATTCTTTTCAGTTGTTATCGGGAAAATCTGAGGTGCATCTCCGGTTTCATTTCCTTCTGACGCTTCATAAAACACCCACATAATTACATAGGGTAGTAGATATTCTTACATATACATGTATGTTTAAAAATAAATACATAATTAAGTATACTAACTATGAAAATCTTTTTGGGAAGTCCGGTAAAAGGCACCTAACTACATTTTACCCCTGTTAAATCTGTACTTATTTTTTTTTAATTATAGACGAACGTTGGTCAACGATCACGTGACCGTCGGTTTGTACATTATTTAATTATAGAAACGGTTAAACTACAGGACAATAAACAAACGTAGTAGAACCACGAATAGGTCGGATCTACCAAAGAGGGAACACGCTCTCACAGAATACCAGCGTAAAATAGAAATAGTTACTTAACGTTTACGCGTTTCTGATGGTAAGTATAAAGAACCGGATACCCTTTTTACTGGCAAGGAGGCGTATCTTAGTCCTCTGGGTTTGTAACGCATCAACATTTTGATTCTTAATTGCGGATATATGTAGGTGTTTGTGAGCCACAGCATGCACTTACAATGAGATGGACTGTATAGGTATTAATTTGTAACACCAGTTATAAAAAAATAAGCAAGCTATATGAAAATCTAATGGCAATCAATCAAAATCAAATCAAGTTAGCAAATATTCTAGTGTGAACGCGACTCCGCTGGTTTTAAAACAACAAAAGCGATCTTGAACTAATATTCGCATCTGATTATTTTCCCGTATTCATTGCGGGACCACAGATAAAAACGGTAAGTTTATATTTTTTATAGAAGTTAAGATGACATACGAGAACCACCAGAACATATTTCACCTAATGAAGTGAAATGAGAACTTTATTTACGACGTTAGAAATTATTTCGTTTGTCAAACGTAAACATAAAACATAAACTACTACCGTTTCAAAATGAAGTTTCTCTATTTTTGGTATGCTAGTAATGTGGTGCATAGACACCGCCCTTATCTATCATTAATTAAGATTCAAAATACAGTTGCATTATCACCACTGAAGACTAAGATGGAATGCCTCTTTACCAGCAAAAGGATCTCCCTATCGTCGCGCACCAAGCGAAACACAGCAGCGTTATGAAGACTCAAAGAATACTCAAGTATGTTTTCTTCGAGTTCAAATCTTTCGAATACCTTTCATATTCAAATAGTCCAAACTAAATATATGACTAATAAACTAGCTACACTTTCTCATAAGTATGCCGACTGAGTATGAAATTGTTGTTCCCAGGTTATAATGAAGCTCTACATATTTTTGTCCTGTATCGTGCTCATACACGGAGCAGCAATAAGCGATGAAGAGTGCGATGGAGTTACAATCGACGGCGTCTATTACGATAAAGAGGTCCTGAAGACCGATCTAGATAGACCGTATTCTTTAGTCGTGGACTTCGGCACCAACGTCCTTTATTTCAGTTACAGCCTTCAGGAAGCCGATGACTTCTTCAAAACTGCCAAGATCAATCTTTACACGAAGGATTTTGCAGAACTGGACGGAGTAGAGAACGGCTTCGTTCAGACAGTCGATCAGACAAATCACGTCCTTTACATCGGCAGCTCAAAAGGCATTTTCAAATATGATTACACAGATAATACAGCCAAACTGTTCGCAGCACACGACACAGATATATGGGACGTATACTTCAAGGATGTGTTGTACTATTCTGAGTTTCCTTCGCAATTTCTGTACACAGTCAAGAATGGTCAAACAGAACGTTTTAAAGATCTAGAGGAGACCAAAGTAGCACATTTCGCTATTGATGACGAAGAAGATATGTTTTACACTAACGCAATCGGTCTATACAGTCAGAAAAAAAATACAAAAGACACAGTTCTATACAAAGAGCTGAATAATGGGGAAGGTGTTAGAGGGATAACGACTGATGTTAATGGAAAGGTTTATATTTGTTTTTCTGATGGAATATATAAGGTTAATAAATATACAACCACTTTGGAGAAAGTGGTTGACGTGGACGATGCGTTTGGAGTTGCTTTCGACGGTAACAATAATATTGTTTATGCTGACGCTACATCGTTGATTCATCTCAAACCTAGCAAGAATAAAAATTGTTAATCCAGTAATATATTGTAAGATAAATTGTTTGTACTGTATTTACTTATTTGTAAAATAAAACTCGTTTTCTTTAATCGAATTAAATATTTATTTAATTAATTATTAGCATACTGTAAATTAGAAATTATTTGTGTAATAGTGTAAATATATTGAATAAAACCGCTTATACGGATTTTATCGCGTTTAATTAACGAACTTTTTTGACTTAATTTTAATTCCCGACGTTTCGGGTGCTTTACAGCACCCATGATAACTGGGGGGACAGATGTTTTACGGTCCAACGTCATAGTTAGCCCGGCTACCTTCAGTTTACGAATATTAATTTTTGGTCCGATCTCCGCAGAACGAGCTTACAGTATCTGTGTCATTATAGGATCCCAATCAGATGGCAGCACCCATCCATTTTCTCTATTGAAATTAGGATGTATTATTTTAATTTCAATATCCTTGCGTGTCATCCTTGGTAGGAGTCGGTGCTCTTTTGCGAGGATTTGGGGTTTATCAAACCTGGTGTAATGGTGGGGACGATTTTGAACATGTTCACGGGCTGCAGACTTCTCGGAGCGTCGGTGCTTCACACCAGCTATATGTTCTACCTGTATAAGAGAGACCATATTCAAAATCTAGCTTGTACACTCCTATATATTGTAGAGGAATATTACACTTGATAGTTAGTAAAAATTGACTAATCTTCTTCAGCGGTTTGTAGTATGTTTTAATGGAAGATCGCTTTAAGATGTAGCGAACCTTGTCTGTGACTCCTCTGACTTACGGTAGTACAGCAGGCACACGCTCGACTGTGGCCGGCTTTACTCATTCACTGTGACGTAGGCGCAATACTAGGTCTTGCAATACTTGCTTGACGTGCTGAAGCTCGGTGGTCAAATATTTTCTGTCACAAATCCCTATAGTAAAACAAAAATAGATGTGTTGTACTTTTTAAAGTCTTACCAAAACAAATTAAAATATTTGTACAATGTGTGCATGATTGTACTGATATTGAAATGATAAATTTAAATTTCACTAAGTTAAGATAAATCTGGACATTTTTTTAAAATTATCAAACGACAATTAGTCACTTAATCTTGTGTCTTTTATTTCACAGCGATTGACATATTATATTGGCGTTCTGGAGTTATTCTCTGATATATTATAATCTTCAAGCCATAATACCTCCTAACTTATATTAATAACCGTGGTTTCGTTGGAGCAATATGTTCCAATCTCGGTAAAAGAAAGTCACCAATTACTGCCTAAATCTTAAAATACGAATCACACCTCAAAAGCAGACAGTAATTGCGTTTTCGAGGGGGGGTGGGCACCTAACTTGTTCAGGCTAGAATACTCTCAAAAAATGCTATTGAATAAAACTAATATTTACGGATTTTATCGCGTTTAATTACTTTAATTTATTTTTATTATTATCCCGACGTTTCGGGTGCTTTACAGCACCCATGGTCACGGGGGGGGACTGAGATGTTTGACGTACCAATGTCATAGTTAGTCCGGTTCCTACCTTCCTACCTTCAGTTTTTTTTTTATATTAATTTTTGGTCCGATTTACGCAAAACGAGCTTATAGTGTCATGAAGTCTTGCAGTGGTATGCTTGGGTTTGGGTTTAATTTTGTTAATTATAGGATCCCAAGCATGGGATTAACAAAATTACCATCGTAGCACCCAACCATCTTCTCTATTGAAATTTGGATATTTTTTAATTTCAATAGCCTCGCGTATCATCCTTGGTAGGAATCGGTGTTGTTTTGCGAGAATTTGTGGTTTATCAAATCTAATGTAATGGTGGGGACGATCTTGAACATGTTCGCAGACTGCAGACTTCCCGGAGCGTCGGTGCTTCACATCAGCTATGTGTTCCTTCACGCGGGTTTTTATAGATCTCTTTGTTTGACCTATGTAAGAGAGACCACATTCACAATCTGGTTTGTACACACCTGCATCTTGTAGAGGAATATTACATTTGATGGATGGTAAAAATTGACTAATCTTCTTCAGCGGCTTGTAGTATGTCTTAATCGACGCTCGCTTCAAGATGTAGCCAATCTTGTCCGTGACTCCTCTGACATATGGTAGTAGATCACGAGCGCGCTCGACTGTGGCCGGCTTCACTCGTTCACTGTGACGTAGGCGCGGGACCCGAAGCTTGTTGTCTTGCAATACTTGCTTGACGTGCTGAAGCTCCGCGGCCAGATGTTTTCTGTCACAGATCCCTCGTGCTCTCTGAAACAAAGACCATGGGTGCTGTAAAGCACCCGAAACGTCGGGATAATAATAAAAATAAGTTAAAGTAATTAAACGCGATAAAATCCGTAAATAATAGTTAATAAAATAATAATTCAATGTGTAGTGTTCGCGTAAATTTAAGAAATCATTAAAAAATGCTATGTTTTCTAAAGTATTAAGACACTATTTTTTTTCTTTAATCACTAATCGTAACCAATTCGTCACTTAATATTGACATTATAAAATTTAGAATATCGTTGGGGAGGAGTTCAGCTTGAAGGGCGCCCAAACATTAATTTAACTTAAATAATAAAATTTGATTGATTATTAAATTGACGACACCCACGTTGTAATCAACAGAAAATACAGATGCTTGCTGATTACTCCAATTCATTTGTGTACGCATTACGAACGCCGAAACTAACCGTTTAGTTCGAACGTGTGTCGGCCCCATGTACTACATATATTTCTTTGCTATTGTGTCTGAAAATCGGACAGTGAGTGTTAAGTGTTAACCTAACTTTACTTAATCGGGTGCAAATTTATCGGGTAATTAAGTAAAGATTAATAAGTTGATAGAAAATTTATATCATTTCCCAACTACGAGTACCACGTTTCATACCACGACGGAACACGCTCTCACGGCATAAAATAACCGGAAACCCATTTTACTGGAAACGAGGCATCTTAATCTTAGTCCATCTTAGTCCTCATGGGTAACAACGCACCTGCATTTTGAATCTTAATCGAGGAGAAATGTAGATGTCTATGGGCCTCAGCTTTCATCTACCATCCGGTGGACTGTGTGCTCGTTTGTCAACCTTATTATATAAAAAAATGGAAAACAAGGATTCCTTCGAGCAAATTTTTCTAACCCGTCGTTTAGATTTACTTCATATTGCTTTATATCAACGCGTCATCCAGTATTGTATAACCTTTATAAACTTGACAAAACGAAACAATAACAAATCAAAACCAACCGCCAAGTTATCCACCTAATGAATACATAACATAAGGTATAAAATCGAACTAAATTTATTTATCAACTGCAAATATAGCATTCAGTTGTACGAGATAGCACATCAAAACATTTAGAGCAAGCTAGTTGTTATTTTAAAGCGTAAAATCTAACACGCACAATGAACATGAAAATAATATTGTTTACATACGTTACGCTTTCTACAGTTCTGAGTTTGGAAGGTAAAATAACAATACTGCTGACAGATGGACCAATACAAAAGATCGGACCGAGAATTTATAAGAAGGAACTCCTCACGAATGAATTCAAAGACCCTATAGAACTCGCATACGATTCTGCGACTAGAAACCTCTTCTTCATGTATATGGACGATGAACTGCAGAATTCCGGTCGTGCTTTCATCAACGTTATAACGAAGAAAAGCAAGAAAATCAGCGGCATATCAAGAAACAAAGCCACAGCAGTCGATCCTGGAACAGGTGATGTGTATTTCGGATCCAATGACGGACTTTATATTTACGACGCGTTCACAAACACTGCAAAAAATATTGGACTGTACAACGTGAACGTTTTTAAACTTGTCATTAGAGACAATCAAATGTACCTCATTGACGCAAACAACCACATGATGTACAAGGCTACAAATCATGGAACAAGGACAGTTAAATTAGGCAACGCTAAAACAGTTATTGATTTTGAAATAGACAACAACAAAAATGTTCATTTTGTTACCATGTGCGGACTGTATTGTGCTGTAGGCGGTGGAGAAATCGTAAAGAATAATGATTTAAGAGTTGCTTACAATTTCATCGTTGACGAAGAAAAGACGTACGCGATTGCAGAAGGAAGTCTCTATGAAATTGACTGTGGAAACGGAACCGCAACAAAAGTTGCCGATTTGGATTTCATCCCGCGTAGTATTATATTTGGTGATTACGGTGACATATTCTATTCAGAGTATGATAACATTTATAGGTTAAGGCCAATAACGTCTTATCTAGTTTATAATTTACCAAGGAGATCGCAACATAATTTAACATAGAATTTTGTTGTTATTTGTTATATAAGACGACTAGTTTATCCATCAAAACTATTTTTATAATTTTATTTTACTGTGTTAAAAGTTAGTTGTGTTAAATCATCTATTAAATATTACATCTAAACGGTGACCTAGGGGGACAGCGTCAGAAAATCTATGATAAAATTTCGTCCGGATATGAGGTGATTAGGGGATATGCCAAGAAATCATGGCCTACGATAGATGGCAGTGTAGCAGCCCATATATGTAAAATATTAGAATCGACGAAGAGTGTCAGCGTCGAAGTTGCGAAACATCTGGCACTACGACCGTCAAGAGTGGCGATGACTGCAAATCTTACAATGAAAGAGACTCATGTCTGTTAAAGTGTTACAGCACTTTTAAGATCTGTTAACAAAGAAGATGTAATTTTTATCTCATAATAAATAATAATCTGTTAAACTTTTTTTTTTTTAATTTGTATAGAACGGTTTACATTTCTAGAAGAGACAAGTGCGAGTGACAAGTGCAACTGACAAATGAGAAGTGCTTAGTGCGTGTGAACGGACAAAGACAAGGGAATAAAATACGTACTTGTCACTTCTCACTTGCCACTCGCACTTGTCACTTCTCAAAATGTAAACCGGACCTTAGGGTGACAAACGAGCACATACGAGAACACAACGTCCACTTGCCAGCGGGTGGACTGTGTAAGTCCACCGCTGGTAAGTGGCCCTTAGACTCATTTAACCTCGATTAAGAATCAAAAAGCAGATGCGTTGTCACCCGCGGGGGACTAAGATGGAATGCCTCGTTTCAAGTAAAAAGGGTCTCCAGTTCTCTACACTGACCAAAAACCATCCGTGTTCCTTCAGTGCCCTTACGTTCCGGAGCCGCGGTATCTCTTTCGAACAGCCCGCAGCCCCGGCAGGCGTCAGCCCTTGCGGGCCCCTTCACACTGCTGACAGCTCTTTGAGGCGCGCGTGGAACAAAACGCGCCGTCGACACGGCCTGTCGTCGTTAGACGGACGGACGGCGAGCTACCCATTGCTTGCCGTCCACAGGCCCGCGCCTACGGTGGCCGGGGGCCACGACGTAGCCCCCCACGCCCGGGGCGTCTCCCGCGGCGACCGGGGAGGAAAGCTGCTGCTCTCTCCTTCTCCCGCTCCGCCCCCTCCTTCGCGAGCATCGCAGAAGGTGGTGACGGCATCCCATTCCGTCTCGCTCCGGACCATGGCTTCGACCAGGGCCGGACGCGAGAGGTCGCCGCCGCCTATCGCCGCTACGAGGACACGGCGGTGCTCCGCCCAAGCAGGGCACACCTCCACGGTGTGTTCCACCGTGTCCTCCGGTCCATCCTCGCAGTGGGAGCACCCGGGCGTTTCCTCCCGCCCGATCCGGTGCAGGAACCTCCCGAACACACCGTGTCCGGTGAGGACCTGCGTCAGGCGGAAGGTGAGGATGCCGTGGCGTCTCTCAAGCCACTCCTCAAAGAGGGGTCTTATCGCCGCTATAGTGGCGTGCCCAGCACGGGGTTGCGACAGTCGCTCTCTCCATGTCGCCGTGAGATCGTGCCGGAAGTCTGTCCGCTGCGCGACAACTTGCCGCGGCAGCGGGGTTTCCCCCCGGCATAGTGCCTCCGCGCGCCATTCGTGCAGGCGCGCGAGGACTATCGCCTCCAGATCCCATGGCGGCAATCCGGCAAGGAGGCTCGCCGCCTTGAGGACCTGCGTCAGGCGGAAGGTGAGGATGCCGTGGCGTCTCTCAAACCACTCCTCAAAGAGGGGTCTTATCGCCGCTATAGTGGCGTGCCCAGCACGGGGTTGCGACAGTCGCTCTCTCCATGTCGCCGTGAGATCGTGCCGGAAGTCTGTCCGCTGCGCGACAACTTGCCGCGGCAGCGGGGTTTCCCCCGGCATAGTGCCTCCGCGCGCCATTCGTGCAGGCGCGCGAGGACTATCGCCTCCAGATCCCATGGCGGCAATCCGGCAACGAGGCTCGCCGCCTCGCGGGAGATCGTGCGGTAGCCGCGAACCATTTTCACGGCAACCACCCTTTGGGGCAAGCCGCGCCAAACCACGCGCCCAAACGGGGGCCCCGTAAAGGGCCATGGACCGCACGATCCCCGCGTAGAGCCTCCGGCAGGAGGCGTTTGGCCCCCCCAGGTTCGGCAGGAGCCGCCTGAAGGCAGCCCCGGTCCGTTCCAGTTTGGGAGCCAAACGTCGGAAGTGCTCAACGAAGTTCCATCGGCCGTCGAGGACGAGTCCTAGGTACTTCACGAGGTCGACTCGACGCCGATGGATACCCCTCCTACCATCACTGAGGATCCCGGTGGTGGCCTGTTCCGAGGACCATGGAAGTGCATGGCCTCGGACTTGTGCAGAGCCACCTCGAGACCCAGTTGCCGAATCCTCTCAACGACTATCGCAACCCCGCGTGTCATAGTTTCCGCCGCCGCCTCGTACGACCCCCCTTGCGCCAGTACCAGCGTGTCGTTCGCTCGGTGCGCAGCACCCAGTCGTAACCGATGTTCCACAGAGGTGGCCCCAGAACCGAACCCTGTGGGACACCGCACGACATCTCTCGCCGGTTCCACTCACCGTTGCGACCGGGGTAGATGACGGCCCTGTCCGTCAGATAGTCCCCGACTATACGACGGAGATAGGTCGGCACCCGGTGATACCGGAGTGCCTCCCTAATGTAGCTCCAGGGCATGGAGTTGAAGGCGTTGGCGATGTCGAGAGACACCGCCAAGACAACCCCCCCTCTGGCCACTGCATCCCCCGTCGTGAGGGCTCTCACGCGCATGATGGCGTCCACCGTAGAGCGCCCTCTTGCGGAAACCAGACTGGTGTTCCGCAAGATCCGGCCCCGTCCCCGCAAGGTGCTCGGCGAGGCGGTTTGCAATGACTCTTTCAAAGAGCTTGCCCACCTCGTCGAGCAGCACCACGGGCCGATATGCGGACGGAGAGTCCGCAGGGCGCCCCGGCTTCCGAATGAGGACCAGCTTCCCCGTCTTCCAACGAAGCGGGAATTGGCCTCTCTCCAAGCAGGAGCCCCTCCAGTCGGGGCCCGAGAGCTCCGAGACCAGGACCCAGGCTTTGCCAGGCAAGCCATCGGGTCCTGGGGCGGTATTCCTGGCCTTGAGCCTTCGTACCGCCACTCTCAGGTCTACCCCGGTCCCTTCCGGGATGTCGTAGTCGTCGTCCTGGTGGTCCGCTTCCGGCACCGCAGGTGGCGGAGCCGTAGGCGGGGGCGGATGTTCCCCTCGCGCAGGGAACAGAGCGCTCACCACGTCCTCCACGAGCTGGGGCCGGAGACTCTTCGTCAGCGGGAGGGCCCAGGTGCGGGGTTTATCCTGCACCATCTTGTAAGGGCGCCCCCACGGATCTCTGTCGAGAGTCTCCAGCATCTCCTCACGGGCCCGATCCCGGGCCCGCAGGGCAGCCTCCCGGAGGGCGGTCTTCGCCGCTCTGTATCCCTCGTACAGCTCCGCATCAATGGCGCGCATCTAAATCACAGCCTGGCGTACAGGTGCCGCGCGGCAACACACGCCTCGCGCAGAGACGTCAGCTCACGCGACCACCAATACACCTGACGCCGGGCGCTTCCTGGCCGGACGCGGGGCATTGCCACGTCACATATCTCGAACATGGCCTCCTGGAACCACCCTGCCTCATCATTGACATCGGCAGGCCTGTCCGGTGATGACACCCAGGCCTGCACGATCGAGGCTTCCAGCTGCTTCAGCGCCCAACGCGGACCACTCGGGGCCTCTTGGACTGGCGCGCTCGAGGGCTGGATGGAGACGTCAAACCGGATGTACCGGTGGTCGGAGTAGGTCTCCACCCCCTCCATGACACGCCAGTCAATGGCACGCGGCGACAGAGCGGGGCTAGCGAACGAGATGTCCACCACCGACTCGCCCCACATCCGCACACACGTGGGGACAGAACCCCCGATTTAGGACGACCAGGCCTGTCTCCAGAGCCCAGTCTTCCACCATCCTACCCCGCACATCTGTACGACGTGAACCCCAAGCCAAGTTCTTGGCATTGAAGTCCCCGAGGACAAGTACGGGGAGGGGATAACTTCCGACGACGACCGCTCTCAGCTCTGCAAGAGAGTTGTGGAGCTCGGCGAGAGATCGGTTCGGGGAGAAGTACACCCCCACAACGACGAACTCCCCGAACCGTGCTGCTACGCACCCCTGACCCCTCCTGACCTGACTTTCAAGGGTCGGGGTACCGGCGGCGGCCGAAGAGATGATGGCAACTGAGCCGTTAAGGTCCGCCACCCAGTCCTCCCTAGGCCAGACAAAATACGGCTCAGCGACCACAGCGATGTTAATCGACCACTGCGCCATGCTCTGGAGCAACAGATCCTGAGCGCAGGCGCAGTGGTTGATATTCGCCTGGAGGAAGCTTAATGGGGCCGTTATAGGCATTCCATTTCAGCTTCCTCCACGGGGGGCCCCTCTGGGGGCGTCGGTGTCGCGGCGGCGGCGGCGGCGACAGTGACAGCGGTGGCGGCGGCAGTTGCGGCTGCGGCGGAGGCCACAGAGGCGGTGGCGGCGGAGGGCCCTCCCCTACCCGCGGCCTTGGCCTTGGCGGGTGGCACGCAGGCCTTGCTTCCGGCCCGGTGATCGGCTGGCTTGCCGGTCGCCGCACATGCATCACAGTGCGGCGTGGCGCAGCAGGTCGCCGATATGTGTCCGGGCTGACAGCAGCGGAAGCAAAGGCCACTGCGGTCAACCTCCGAGGCGCATCTCACTGATACGTGGTGCCCCACGAGACAGCGATAGCACCTCAGAGGTCTGGGCTCCAGCAGCTTAACCTGGGCTGAGACCCAGCCTACCAGAAGACTTCGGCCCTCCACTATGGTTTTGGCCGCCGTAACAGGGCAGCACACCGTGGCGGCATTAATACCCTGTTGATCCGGGCGTATGGCGCCTGACCTGACCTGGTCCGTAGTGCACCCCCCGGACCTGGCGACGGCGGCCACCAACTCCTCCTCCGATACCG